GTCAATATGTGACGTGTGCAGCTTGTTTGATGGTGGTGGCGTGGTAGGGTGATAGGGTGGTGAGTCGGTGGTTGGTAGTCGTGGGTACGTAAATAATTAGTTGGGTGGTGGATGATGGACGGTGGTTGGTTGTTGATGGGTGATTGGTGGTTGGTAGTTAGTGGTGGATGGTGATTAGTGGGTTGTGGTGGTGGGTGGTTGGTGATGGGTAAAGGGTGCAATTGATAGATCGTAGGGGTAGCATGAAAAATTCGTCCGACCAAGAATCCCGTTAGGTGGCGTCGACAGTTCTTAAAAACTTTCACGGGGGCTCCGGTGGACTACGCGCGTCGCGTGAGCATTTCGCTCGTCAGACCACTAAAAGACTGTATACGAATATCCGGAAAGTTGACCCTCCTCCCAGCTGAGTCGCCCGGAAAAATTGCTTTTTGTATTATTACCATAACCGTGCTCCCATAGAGCCGGAAAAGTACCCCTTCCCCCACAGAGCCCGAAAGGTACCCCACCCCCCTCCGTCCGTCAACCCCATCAAGTCGCTGACAAAGTACCCATTAAATACAACCACCCCCACACCTGCTGAGACAGATAAAAGGTCCCATTACCTGCTATGCCCCACCGAGCCGGAAAGGTACCCGCCCTCCTCTACAGAGCTGGTATAAGTTACCCCCCCTCCCAGAGAAGCCCGAGAAATGATACCCAGAATTCGCCGTCTCCCCCAATGAGCTGGAGATGTAAAGTATACAATTCCAACATATTTCATCTGTATCGCATCAAAATAACTCGCAATAGAAAGCAGTAATTTTTGATGTTACATATATATTTATTTCTGACTCGTGTTAATCATTATCAGTATATGTGTACTCGCCCTTGGAGATTGTGCTCATTGCGACCTCGAACTATGTGCTCCATTAATTACACGTGCTAACTATGTATGTTTTTCTCATATAATTTCGCGTCATGCGTAATATCATTCATACTGTACTCGGATCAAAATAACTCCCAGAGAAAGCTTGATGTTACAAAGTTTCCTGACGTCCTGTTTAATCATTAATGTGTCAGTATAGTCTGCGTACTCGCTTGGGAGAGGTCTCGCGCCGACCTCACATTGTGCTCTCATGAATTACACTGCTAAATGATATCTGTTTCTCACCTTATATTCGGCGGTCAAGCGTAGATACCATTTCCAGTCTGTAATCGCATCCAAACAGCCTCCTCAACAAGAAAGCATTAATTGAAATGTTACAAAACATATATATTTATTTTCTGACTCGTGTTATCATTATGTGTCAGTAATGTGTACATCGCCTTGGAGATGTGCTCCATTCGCACCTCAAAAATGTGCTCCATTTAAATATACACTTGCTAAATATGTATGTTTCTCAATTATATTCAGCGCATGTGTTATATATTTCATCATCTGTAATCGCATCAAAAATAACTCCTCGAGAAAGCATTGATGTTACACCACGGTTAGTTTCTGCTCAGATGTTATCCATTATGTGTCAGTATACATGCGTTACATTCGCCTTGAGATGTGCTCTCGACTGTGCCCCGCCGACCTCAACATGTGCCCATGACTTACCCTTGCTAATAATATGTTAGTTTCTCAATTATAATTCCGTCAAGTAGATACATTTCACATCTGGTAACGCAGTCAAACACAAACTACCTCAGAGAAAGCATTGATTGTTACATTAGTTTCTTCTATTCCCTGTATCATTATGGTGTCAAGTATACTGCCGTACACTCGCCTGCTGGAGATGTGCTTCCGCTCCGTCGACCTCAAACATGTGCTCTACTAAATACCAATTAACCTGCTAATACTATGTAGTATTTTTCCCCCCCCCCTTCAAATTATATTCCTGTCATGTGTATACATTTCATCTGTAATCGAACAAATACACTAACTCCTCAGAGAAGCATTAATTTAATTGATGTTACAGTTATTTTTATTTCTGGACTTCGTGTTAATCATTATGTGTCATATAATGTGTACATCGCGGGCTCGGCCGCTTGAGAAGCTGTGCTGCTCCATCGACCTCACATGTGCTCGCCATAAATTATAAATACCTTGCTAAAATATGTATGTTTTCTCAATTAATTCGCGCCATGGTGTAT